GGGGGCAGGGCGCTGGCGTCGGCGCTGCCCAGCTCCAGGGCCTCGAGCAGCCTCGGGAGCAGCTTGTGCCTGCGGAAGGGCCCCGGGAGGGACTCCAGGAGAGGGGGCAGCTCCTGCAGGAACGTCCGGCGCTCCGAGGGGTCCCGGACCTGCCGGGGGTCGGGGGGGACATCAGGGGATGGGGAGGATGATGGGGATGAAGGTGAGGAAGAGGATGAAGGAATAGGAGTGAAAACAATGATGATGGTGAGGATGATGAGGGGACAGGGATGGGAACGAGATGAGGATGGAAGAGCAGGGATGAAGGAACAGGAATGAAAATGAGACAAAAGGAACAGAAATGAACACGGGAATGGGACAAGCATGAGGATTGAGGGACGATCAGGAGACAGCGATGGGGATGAGGATGATGATGGGGACGAGGAACAGCAACAAGCACAAAGATGAGGAGACAGGGATGGGAATGAGGATAAAATAGCTGGAATGAACGCGAGGATGAGGATGAGGTGTTCTGAATGAAAAATAACAAGGAACAGGGACGAGGCGAGGCTGAAGCCAGACCTGGAAGTGCTCGAGGAAGAGCCCGGTGCGCACCAGGGCGCAGGCCAGGAAGGCTCCAGGGCGCTGCAGCCGCTCCAGGAGCGGCCCCGGGCCCGGCCGGGCCCCCGGATCCGCCGCCACCAGCTCCGAGAAGGGCGGGATGAGCCCGGGGGGCAGCTGGGGGACAGGGGGGACACAGGGTCAGGGGCACCCCAGGGGCTGGGGGGACAGGGGGACCCCCGAGCCTGGGGGGGGTTTTGGGGGGTGAGCAGAAATCTGGGGATCCAAGTCTGGGGGGAGTCAAACTGGGGGATCCCGGGTGTTCAGGGGGTCCCCAGGATTTTGGGGGGGGTCCCTGACCTTGCCGAAGCTGCGCAGAGCCCCCGGCCGGGGGAGGGGTCCATTGAAGACCTCCCAGATGAGGCAGCCCAGGCGCCACATGTCCCCTGCCCTGGGGGGG